ATTAGTCTTTTCTCCCTTCTATCAAAACATATGTCAGTTTGAAATTAAGCAAGAATTTTCTTCACTCTTGAGTATTTCATCATCTCAGCTAAATCAGTTCAGTATATTAGCCAGCTATTTAAAACCTCTAACGTAATGAAGGTCTTCAAGGAATCTGAGAATCATTGTGACCAAATGGAAGAGTAGAAACAAAAAATTTGAATATCTCAAAAGGAAAAGTGGGAAAAATAAGTGAAAATAAAGAAATATGTAGCCTAAGGTTCATCGAACATGTAATATTGCCCTTTTTGAGTTAGGCACTTAGGGAAAAAGAGTAAGGTATGGGGTCTTCCATGAAGAAACCAAACATTAAGTATAGTCTGAAGAAAAAAGTCGTAAACTAGGAATTTACTCTTCAATGTTCTTTTTAAAGTAGAATAATAATTTCTGAGAGAGAAGTAATTTTCTCTCTAAAAATATTCTGAAAGAGAAGAATAAGGAAATAAAATACAACTGAAGTTTCTAACTAAAGGTCTTTTTTTTTTTTTATAAGATTATGTAAAAAAAACATTTAAGAACTTGAATTGAAAAGTAGAGGAGGAGAGAAAGGGAGAAGACTCTGAGTTCAAAAGGATGACATTTCAAAATAAATTCTGTTGAAACATAGATCCTTCCTCTCCTCTACTTTCTTTATCTCTTGACGTAATCTGTGTTTGGGGAAGTAAAGGGGAAGAAGAAAGGGCGGAGGGAGGAGGGACAGAACAGCAACTTCAAAATGCTTTAAAGGAATTGTGATTAAGAAGATGTTTCCAGAATTAGGGAAAAAATTAGTGGTGTCTAAAATCTGATCAATAAGTTTCTTCACTGGTTTTGTGAAGTGAAATACTTCCTTTAGATTTTTTATTGAATAGATCCATATATGTATGCTTTCATGAACTCTTCCTCCTTTAATATCATACAATAATTTTAAAGTGAAGGTTCTGAATGTTCCTTATTTTGAGGTCAGACAGTATATGTATCCATTCTTGTACATTTTATAGAATTCTTTTTCTATGTTAGTCTTTTCTTCTCTGTGAGGCATCTTGCTTTCAATTACTTTCATTATGGTCTATTATTGATTAATGTGAATTCATAATTTACTTTTGTATTTATCAAAGATGTTAGGCCAGCTGTCCAACTGTATCATTCATCTTCTACCTGACTCCTTTTTCCACCTTTGTAGTGGTTATATTAATACAATGTCCCACAAGGGATTTCTGAAGCTCAAAAATGTGATTGGAAGTGCAGCCCAATTCCTCAAAAAGGTACTATAGTTATATACGCTAGTGTTTTACTTTGGAGGTGCCAGTCACTTTGAAACAAAATTACTCTTGGCCTTTTATGCATTCAAAGATTCAGATGGCACTTTTTCCTTTGTTTCTTTTCTTCTTTATGTCCATTGGGCTCAGTGGAATCAGCTGGTAGAGACCTCTGATATCAGTTTTTTGTTGTGTGATAAAAACAATGCAAGAGTTGGAGCCACTGATCAAATCTCCTCCAACAAACCGTAATTTTACAGTTCATCAGATTGTTCAATTTTAAATCTACCTGCTACATAACAAAAGCAGCTTGGAAACCCTCTAAATTAAGAACCAATCTCAAATCAGCATATGATGCCTTTGTTTCCTGAAGCCACCTTCCCAAACAGCAGAATTCAAGCAATGGTTACTTTTCTTTAGACATTGCATATCTTCTGTGCAGGCTTCTTCTTTCTTTTGCTTTCCCACAGGAGTAGTCCTGTTAATAAAATAAATGTAGTACATGGTTAGGTTCTATAGTCACTATAGGACTTATTTATTTTTTGAATGATGCAGTGAAATTAATAGGACTTTATTCGATTAGAGAGCTCTCCATGATGAAATGCCACTACAGAACACACTTAAGCCAACTAGGCTAATTACTTACTCCATTCTAGCAATTTCTTCACAGTTTTTTTGGGGAAAAAGGAGGCATAAAATAGCTTCTGTTTTCATGAAAAGGATGCAAGGTACCTAATCTGATCTTTGCATAGACATCCTTACAAGCATAAGGAAATTTAACACAGTATTTTATTGATGGCACACCTGTTCATTTTTAAAGTGTTCTGTGAACTGCAACATGAACTGACATAATACCATGCTGATCATTTAATTTTGTGAAGTAATACAGCTCTGCCTAGTTGTATGCAATCTGTTCATTTCACTTTTCTTGTTATACTGGGAGATAGAAGAGATTTCTGAATGAAGATTTATGATGCTCTTGCTCCTCATGTATTGTCTTTATCCATTTTCACACCATCATAAAGTAAGTCGATGACAGTGACACCACCTTTGGAATTTTTAGATGAAAAAATTTACAGCTCATCAATTTAAAAATTTATGTCAATCACTATTTTTGCATGACCCTGTTATTTTGAAAGCATTAAAACTTGGGGGGTTCCCAGGTTCTTTTTTTTTTTTTTTCTGAACAAGAAGAAATTAATAGCTACACAAAACACTTCTAAAAATGCATGATATATAACCCTCATACCTCGATCCTTATATCTGCCTCAGCCTCTTATACATACACAGCTGCTGTCTCTGCATTTTCACAAGAATGGCAGAAAATAAGCCTAGCCAATAAAGATAGAATACTTATGGGAAAAAAATACAATTGCTAAGAATGTTCATTTGCAGGTACTGGGAAAATTACATGCTTTTAGTGAGCTGCTTGAAGTAATGACTGCTCACAGTTCAGAACGGTTTTTACTAGATGAAACATCTACTTTAACAGACATCAGTTTTACCAGAATGCTTTATAAAAAGATGGATCAAATCTGCTGTGAGTTAGGGTAGGAAGAGGAAGTACTGGTATATGTACATATTATAGTTTCAATGTTAATATCACTACACTGGCATAAAGAGGTGACTACCCAGTGAAAGGAGAAAATGCAACAAAATGCAAGTCCAGGAACAGGTGAGGCATGTGGGGACACAGTAGCAGAGCCAGGCCTTGGTGGCGACAAGGACTACTCCAGAAAAGAGGGGCTTGAAAGGATCTCTACTTCCCCTGTGAAGCTTAAGGGGAAAGTATTATTCTTTGCTAAACTTTTTGCTTCCTGTTTTTCTCCTATATTTTCTTCAGTGGTGTCAAATTAGATATAAAACTGAGCTACTCTTGACTGCTTGAAGAAAGGCAAGAAACCCATGAGTGTAAGGTTGCTGATGAAGTCCAGCCTTCATCTAGGACAAGTGAACTTGGATTCCCGTATCCCAAGAAAGGGGATGGCCTAGAGCATTGAATCTGGCACTGCCCCTAACGGGTCCAGGACAGGACTCAGTAACTAAACTTTTCCTAATCTGAGTTGGCCTAAAACAAAATTAAGAATAAACTGGTGTTTGAACAGGAATTCCTAAGTGTTAGTCCATGGAAGACTGCACCAAATATAACTCCATTTTATATCTTAACATTACAACTAAGTAAATTTGACTTTTTTGTTTGTGGTGATTTTCATATATTCCTTGTGGGTGAAAATTTCTTGGCATCTGTACTGCCATGGTTTTGTGGGTTTTTCTGACAAAAATAGATGGCCCTCTACTGTCTTTGTAGATTTTTTTTTCTGTTTGACAGATAAGTCTTGCTATTTAATTTTGATGGGCCCCAGAAAGCCACTTAGAGACATTGTTATGAACCAGCTGTCAGAAGAGTTTGGTTCACTTGACCTCCTGATCTCTGAGTTCAACATCTCAGTCCCACCGACAATTCAAATTATTTGTATCTTGCAGTGCTAGTATTTGCATTTTTCCAGCAATACTTCATTTTCAGGAACCCTTAACCTTATAAGACAAATTCCATAACTACATTTTTTAGTGAAAATGAACAGGCTAGACTCTTCCTCACATCTATGTCAGCTTCACACCAACCTTACAAGACCTGAAGATGATCATAATGGTGGAGAAGAACATCTGATGAGTAAATAGGCTTTCTCTGTAATGCAGTGATTGTGATGCTTAGGGAAGGTGGAGGCAAAACCATCCAGAAGTACATTCTTCAGACACACTAATTAAAGGTGGTCTGTCCCCCTTTGTAAGGAACTGAAACTTTTGTCAGTGAGTCCTGGCATTTGTCTCAAGGATTGCTTACCTAAGAAGAGCCACTGCAAAGTGGGAGAAACTGAACTATAAAACATTTGTCTGCTTACCTAAGAACTATAAAACATCTGCCTCAAAGATAAGAGCAGCTGCAAGGCCACTGAGGCCTCCGGTTTGCAAGGGATGCGCTCTGAGCAGGACTCCGTGTTGTCTAGGAATGTGGCAATGTACCGTTGCCATGGAAACTGCAGCCCTCAAACAGGAAAAAAGGGGACTGACAAGACGATCCCCGGTGTGATCGACCACCTCCGACCCCAGAGAGATGGCCCACCGCCGACCCCGGAGAGACCGCTCACTACCGAAGCACTCAAAGACTTGGACTCTGAGACGCCGCAGATCCATGGTGGTGACTATTCTTGCAACTCTATCCTGAATGCTTGTTTGATTTCTATCTTTATTCTAATCTGTCCTATCGCTACTAAGTTTTACCTTTGATAATAGAAGTTTTTTAGGACATACGGCATTTGACTTCGTTTGTGTTTTAATCTCTCTCTTGGGATCACATCGAAACCTCCCCCGATATTGGATCAGGACATTTAAATTGGCATCACGGACAGGATCCCTTGAGATGAGAGTGCCGTACTTTTTTACGTGAAACCTGTCAGGAAAGTAAGGGGTGCGGGACTGTGTTTGAAACTTACGTGCTGCCTTCCTGAGACCACCGCTTCCCCGCTTTTACTGTTTTCCGAGATATGTGAGACCTCTCAGGGAAGTAAGGGGTGCAGGGCTGTGTTTGTAACTTACGTGCTGCCTTCCTGAGAAGAGTGCTTCCCCGCTTTGTGAAACCTCTCAGGAGAATGAAGGGGGGCGGGTTTGTGTTCAAAACTTGTGCGCTGCCTTCCTAAGAAGACCGCTTCCCCGCTGTGTATAAAGATGAGTGATACTAAAACTGTCCCTTTGGGGAAAGAAGTTTTGTTTGAGTTTTTGGAGAAACACAATGCACGACCCTCTGTACCCGGAATAGACTGGGCTCAGGGAAATTGGTATAATTTGCAGAATGTGGTTGATCGAACGAGTGCTTTGCAAAAGGATGCAAGAGTCAGATCTGGAAGAGGAAACGCGATTGTTTGTGCTGTTCTTGGTGCCAGTTTAGCCGCTGCTGTAGAGGCGAGGGAATGCTGTCGTGTTGAGGAATCCCTAATTGTTGAATCCCTGCAAAACCTTGTTCAGTCCCTTCAGGGGCAAGTGGTGGAATTAAAGGAACAGCTTGAAGGAGAGAGAGACCAGGTGAAACATCTGCAGATTGCTCTTAAGAAGCAACTCCTTGCGGGCACTGCCCACAAGGAAATACCCCCAAGATTGGAAACTGGTTATCCTTTTAACGACTTGCAGGCAGCGAGAGAAAAAGTAGAGAAATTAGAACCACTCTCGCTGCGACCCTTGGTTAAGGCCGAGTATATTTATGATGATGATCAGGATCAGTTCCCCCAAGTTACAACCAAGGAGGTCCCCTTTACTGCCACTGAGCTGGCGAAGTTAAAAAAGGATTTTGGTCGAACCCCTAGGGAGTCGGAGACAGAGTATGTGTGGAGAGTGTTGTTATCTGGGTGTGATCAGATTTTGTTAACTGAAAAGGAGGCGGAGGGGTATTGGGGACCGGGAGTATTTTTAACTACCAGGAATTACCGCACCCCTTGGTCTTTAACCCAGCGGGCAGCCTATTGGGCGGGGGGTTTGAACCCCTTGGAGAGGGGGGATCCCCTCACAGTCACGGGGACTGTTGATCAGTTGGTGGAAAGTGTGCAGAAGGCAGCTTGCTTGCAGATGATGTATGATCGAAAGCTAGAGCCTAGGCAGGAGTCCCCGATGATGATGCCTGTAGATCCTGAGCAAATGACTCCTCTTATAAGGGGACTCCCTGATTCCTTAAAGCTGATTGGTGTACAGTTACAGGGGGAAATACAGGCAATGCCTCAGAGCAAAAGAGTTGCAGCTGCTTTAAAAGGTCTTACACCCGATCGGCACTGC